CCTGCTGGGTTGTACTGGGGGAGGAGTGGGGAACGAGAGAGACAAAATGCCAACTGACCTTATAAACAAAGGTATGTTTAGGGCTTCTGGTTTCAGGAATAAACCGATATTTACTGGTAAAAGTCTGCCAAAAAACAAAAACAGAAACACAGGATTACTGGTAAATATTGGTTTATATGGAGAAGTTCTTTTTAAAAAAAATTAAAAATAAAAAATAAAAAAAAAAATAAAAAAAGATGTCATCGTGCTCCTGATCTCCACGTGCTCCCAGGCAGGAGCCCAGAACCGCCCCATGGCATCCCTGGCACCCGGACACCTCAAACCAGAAGCCTTGTGTTGAGAGGAAAGTCCTGTTTCTTTCCTTTACTTCCCTTAAACTACGTGTTTCTGGATTCCCCCCTCCCTCCTCTGCAAGGCTGGTCCTACGGGGGTTTGGCTCAGGAGATGGGAAGTCTTCTTCCAAAAGCACTTGGAAGTGAATTTGTACATAATATGGTATCTCAGCACTAAGGCTGCTGGGGCCTGAGCCTCTGCTGCTCCCTGAGATACCATAAAATATACAAGACTGAGTGTATATTTTAAATAAAGCATTTTCTTGTAAGTGGCATAAACCCATTCATTTTATTTACATGCTTATTTATTTCCAAAAATAGAGTTGGTCCACATTGGACAAGAGAAATCAAGAAGCCATACAGTAGAAGAGTTAAAAGTCCAACATTTAACCAAAGTACAATGAAATTCCAGAAGTCTGTGGCTGACTTGAACCACAGAAACATACACATGAGCCACACAGACATTTGTACATAGAGCATTATATTACCAATAATATTTGCAAACATGAGGTCAAGATGGCTAAAAACCCAGCAGGACTGACCCGAGGGTCCTGGCTGAACAGAAGCGGGTGCTGAGGGGCCGTCGCTGCTGTGGGGAAACACAACTCTCCAGAGATTTTGTTTCACTTTTGGCTTTTTCTTTAACTGAGAAAGTCCTAATTTTTCTGCCCTGGGGATCCAAATTGAGGACACGGTGAAAGCCAACCCCATGGAGCTCCCTAAATGCCCAGCTTGGTGCCGGGGGCTTGGACCTGCGGAACCCCGGCTGTGCCGGGGCTGAGCCCCGCCGGGAGGGCAAAGCCCTGCCCTCTGCTACTTGGCCTGAAAGATCACCTGGAAAAGAAAAAGTCGGGGTTTATACCCTTGTGGTGTGCTGGGGGGTGTCTGAAAAAGGCCTGGATAGGGTTTAGTCTTGAAAACAAGGATTTCCCTCCCTTGCCGTGGGCAACTTTTTGGCATTTGTTATTCCAGTCCTGTCTACCTTTTCTGGAAGACCACAAATATCCTAGAGGATGTTGCACTGGACAGATGAGAGAATAACTGTTTTACATTAAAAAAAAAAAAAAAAGGTTGGAGAATGGTCAGCAGAAGAAAAAAAAAAACAAATGGAAAACATGCCTTATCTCTGCATGATGGCCCAGTTTGTCTGGGTATTTCCATGGACCTCACCATGATAATATCTCAGTGTCTCCAAAGAATGGAAAAATAGATTTAAATCTGTATTTTCTCCTGCAGAGAATCACAGCAAGTAAAAGGGGGAAGACAGTTGTAGCACTCCTGGTATTTCTACAAACCACCTGCTACACGGGGTAGAACCACACGGAAAGGGTATAAATTAGTTTTCCTTTTTCAAGTCATCTTTGACACTCACGATATTAAGCCTAGTCCAACGTGAATGCTAGTACAGAGCTAATGTACAGAATACCAACGATAATTATCGGTATCTAACAGGATTTAAAGGCGAGTATACTCAGTACATTTAGGAGGAAATACTATTACCAAAAGGCCAGAGCTCTGGCAGCAGTTACACGAAGCAGCCGTGCAGGTCTCTACGAGGACGGAGCCTTTAGCACGAGTCACTATGATCATCTGAGCCTGTGACAACTTGATCTTCTGGTTTGTTTTCTAATCTCAGATGTGAAATAACACTTTAAAACAGAGATGGGCCCGACCCTGTGCAGTTGGGCACGTACAACACTCCCCACTGAAAACTCAAAGCCCAAATTCCTAAAGAGAGAGCACGAGAAATTGTTTTCTTACATCAAATAACTATCATGCAAGCGATACCACGACGGTTTTATATTGAGTACTTCAAAGTCAGTTGGTATAATTTAACTAGAAGTGAGCAATCTAAGGAATTTCTAGAGAGTAGGGACAAAGGTTGTGCCGGTGACAACCACCCGAGGTGACCAGGGAGAACAGCACAGGGACACTGTGGGGGTCTAATGAGCTGTGGTACAGGCTCAGCTCAGCAGCCTCACAGACCCGGGATAGGCAGGATTCCTGTGGCAGGCTACACACCTTCACTTCATTTGCTCTGCTAACAGAGTGTGATATTCTTCAATTTTGCAGCTCACTTACAGCCTAGCAATACTGGTGGAGCATTAAAAATTGCTTTTTTCCCCCCTTTGCCTGCTGCCTCACATTTCCCAGGATCAGCCCCACTGCTGTATGCTCACAGCACAGCCAGACATTATCATGCTCTTCTTAATTTTCCAGCCATGGCCAGGCTGGAGTGACTTTTCCAATATAACCCAACCACTCTGCTCCATCAGCTGCCAGTTCTTGTCTTTAAACATGAACTCTGACCAAAAGCCTCATGGTACCTGCAGTAAACCTGTTCCTGTTGCAAACTCCAACAACTTATCAAAGCACTCACTCTCTGGTACCCTGATCTACTGGAGACAGGGAAGGTGGGAGAAGCCAGGGTATTTGTCATGGCTTCTAGACTTTTAAGAAGCCTAAAATTAAGCCAGAGCAGCAAAGGGTGGCTCTGGTTGAGACCAGCTACCTGTGGGTCCTCCAGGGTCTCTTGGGAAGGGAGGCAACACAGGTCTGCATGAGAACATACACCAACAACTCTCCCGCAAGGAAAAGACTTGGAAGATGCTGTCCAGGCCTCTCTCCCTGCTCCTTCCCTTTCTGCCCATCATCAAAACCAAAACCTTTTAGGACTTTTCTTGGTTAAAACAGAACTAAACAGAAAATACCCACAACATCAGCTGCTGAGGCACGCTCTGGGATCCGGCAGACCTGCAAGTCCAGCTCAGGGCAGGAATTTGAACTGGGGGTGTTGCATTACAGGACAAATCCAGATCCCATGCTACCCAGTATTCTGGGCTTGTTTCTCCCCTTTGCCCAACCAGACGTTGCAGCCTGGACCTAGTTGTGTCCACCAGAAAAGTTTAATGAAAATCAACCATCCACCACCCAGCAACTCTGTTTTTAATGAAACCATGGAAGGAAACTCATTTGCTCAAAGGCTGAAGATGCAGACTTGGAGGCCTTTGATCACCTTCTCCAACCAGACTAGACAACTGATCAACATCAACTGCAACCAAAGAAGGACTCTGTGATATTTCTCTTCTCATTAGAAGCACATTTTTCAATGCCTTCTAGGAAGGACTCGGTAAAAACCTTTTAAAACACTCAAATAAAGATCAGTTCATTCTTCACCTCCTGTTATTTGTCAGCGTGTCCAAAGATTCTGGTAGACGGCCCAGAAAACAAGATTGATCACAGAATCAAAGAATGGTTTGGTTGGAAGGGACCCTCAAAGACCACCTTTGCAGAAAGTGTGTTGCTTTCCACCTCTCACACACTGAAGAGTTACAGCGTTTCAGCTTCTCCTTTTCAAACCAGAGTTCAGGGGTGCTGATCTGTAATTCCCACTGCCCCTATTAATACTTTAATTAAAAAAAATAATAACCCAACATTAGAATGTTATCTAGTCATGGAGAATACTAAGCTGTTTTTTAACAGCCCTATTTTTGCTAGTACCTTTGGTGTTTCATTCCCAAACTCTTTTAAAACCTGTTGCTCTTCCACTTGAATTTCCTACTTTGCTCCAGCATCTCTATCTCAAACACTTGAGTTTCAGAGGGAGGCTGCTTATCTTTACTACCCAGAGGGACTGGGTGAGGGCAGGCTCTCAAACTTGCTCCTGAATGACATGGGGAAGTCACTTCAGCAGCACGAACTAGTGCAGGAAATGAACTGTGTCTTCAGTCCTGCCTGCCCAGATTTTCTCCCCAGCCCTCTCTCTGATGTCCTTCAGACAGGATTCACTCCTCCAGGCCCCCAGCTCTGCAGGGCCCCTTCAAAACTGCTTTATTTCCAGATTGTGGTTACCTGCCCTACTCCATGGCTCTTTCAGTCTGTTCCTCAAGACCTGGACTTTTGTCCTTATTCCCTTTCTTATAAATATTTTTAACAACTGTTTTACTTTGCTCCTTCACGACAGAATTCTGTCTCACCTGGATGCCTGTAACCTTTCCAGGTATCTACAGGGCTGTCTTGACAAGTCTAAGGATGTTATTTTCTGATCTTCTCCCCTGCAATATTTTGTAACACAAGTAATTTTTTTTAGTCCATTGCTGAACCTGTAACTGTACTGTGGTCCCTGCTACTTAACAACTCAACAGTAATTGTATCTTGAACCAGTTCTTATGTCTTAGTCCTAAAGCAAGGCTTACTCTAGACCAGGCTGTTACAAGACATGATCCTTTAAGTAAGTTGAGATGTTTGCTCACCAAAATGTTAGCCAGCCCCTTCCCAAACAATCTGATAGCATGGTCATAATGGAATTTACTTTTTCTTACAGGTTTATGAGGATGCATGAGCCTTAGTTTTCTTCCAAGCCCCATGAAACCCACAACTTCCTTCTTGTCTGGAATAGAAAACTTCCTAATACCTCCATGTCATTAAAATATAGAATTTATATCCAACATATATGCAGCTGTTTGGTCATCACTACTCCAATTTCCTCTCAGATTTTACAGCAAATTTTAGATGTAGTGTTCTTCCCTTATGGCCCAGCACACCTGCTCAGTACAGTGTGATGGCAGGTAATGCAGTATCTTATTGATTTTCATCACCCCCACCATGTTTCAATCAGACCAGCTGTGCCAAGATCTTTTTTCCCCACCAAGCAGTCTACAACAACTATTTTTGTCTCATGTTTCCACACAGATGTGCCCATCCCTTAGTCCAGCCCACAGCCTGGCAGCTGGTCGTCCCTCCTGTGCACACAACTCTGCCCTCAACCTCCAGGTACCCCAGATGGAACAGCCCCGACAGCCTCAGCCCTCCACCAGCGCTGTGTTCAGTCCATCCTCCCAAACCCCTGCCCACTTCCCATGCCACCAGTCAAGGGACACCTTGGCTGAAGTGAAAACCAGCACATGCTGTGAAGTTGTGGCTCTTCGCTTCACCTGCTTGTCACATCCTTTTCCCAGGCACGCCCTAAGACTTCAGGAAGAGGTCCCGCCATGTCTGAAATCCTATCTTGTTCCCAGGCTCCCAAATTTAGCTTCCCAGGTAACTCAGCTTCAGGAATGACAGCCCCAGGCTTGCCCCAAGCACTCTGACACCTTCCGGGACCTACTTGTCCACTCAAGAGGCAAATGAGCAGATGGATCTCCTCATCATCAGGAGCCTGTATGTCCCACCACCAAATCCTCTGCCATTCAAACCTCCCACAGCTGCTTGCCCAGCTTCTGGAGGCATCTCCAGAACACAAACCAACTCCTCAACCAACCCTTTGGTTATAAATCGCCCCTTTAATCCCGTCCAGTTCCAAGTCTCCACAAATACAAGGCAAGGCAGCCAGTGCCGTGGTGGGAATGGACCCTGACCATCTGCAGAGGATTTGATGCCATCTCTTCTCCACCAGCTCAGCAGTTCTGGCCTCAGGATGCTTTCTGGAGCCTGGAGTGCCTCCACTTGTTGCTCTGTGTAGTATTTTATCAACAGATAATCACTGGTAAAGCGTGTCCTCTCTGCACTCTTGTGTGCAGTTCCTAGTGCAATTAAGCCAATGTATTTCAATTCCCATAATTAAGCAAAGAATTTTGCTTTATGACCATATAAAGTCCAACCTTTAAACTAAAAATAGACTGACCGTTAACGGATTCTTTTTTTTAATTACTTTAAACCACCAATTAGAGACTTTCATTGGACAAGATAAGTTACATACGGCCTTGGAAAAGCCTGCCAGGACTCATTTTCCAGGACTTTTATTGACAGGTGCAGCTCAGAAGCCAATTTTTTTTTTTTTAAAGATGGAATGAGCCTCTGAACACAGCAGACCTATCCACAAACCAAACTGTTTGCATGCATGAAAGCAGAGATGACTTTTGCATGAATTTGCAGTGCTTAGTTCAGAGTTATTAATGAGAGAAAATAATTCAAAGCCTCTAGTCCCTGCTTTGCTCAGACCTGCCTGGTTGCCCTTCAGCAGCCCCTGGCAACGGTGATCCTACTGTCATTTATTATTTAAATAAAACAATCTTTTTAATAAAAAGAAATTCTGACCCCATTTAAACTCTGTACCTGACCAGACACTGGCTTCTTTCCTTCACCTCTGGTGCTGCTCACACAACATTATTCTTAAGCTGACCTGCCCACACAGCTCCTGATAAGCCAATGCTACATTGCCAGCTCTCCTCAGCATCACTCGAGTGGGAGGTTTAAATACCAGATTTCACAAAATCCTTTCTCCATGATTCTTAGCCCTGGCGTTTCTTGAAATATTGACAGATCAGCTTGCCCAAAAGTGAGACAGCTGGACCAGTTTCTGCTGGACTGACACAGAGAGAGGAGCTGGTCCCTGAAATCCCAGTGCTCACCTCTCGACCCTCACATTAGTTCTGAGGAGCCTGGATGGGCTGATGCCGATGTGCCAGTGCAGACTCACCCCCCAGGAGCTGCTGGTCTCAGCTCCTCTGCCCATATGGAATGCCCAAGCAAAAGGCAAGTGCAGGCAGGTCCCAAATCTCAGGAGACTGTGGGCAATAAAGCCATCAGCCTGCACTGCACTGCTGTGCAACCAGGATGGAGCATGGAGAAATAAAACATATTCCCCAGGGAGACACTAGAACAAGCCCAGCCCAGGGGAGAGAGACACCCTTCAAAAGGTAATGCTGCTCCCCAGTGTCCTAACAGACAGGTCCTGCCCGATGCACAACCACTGTCCTGCCTTTCTACCCAGACTGAGAGCAAAACCCGCCAAACCTCTGATATCCTGGCTGGAGGGCACTGCAGACACGATGGGCAGCCAGCGGTTTGGGCCTGAGTTGCACATCCAAGACATTCACCAGCAATGGAAAAACCATCCCTGCTCATTTACTGACCCTCAGCTCCCAGCAACAGAAACTACCCAGGCACGTATGATACAGATCCTCCTCTCAGCACCGGCCACATCAGCACAGTGGTGCCACAGAGGAGCTCAAACCATTCCCGTGGGGGTCACCCCACAGCAGAGCCCCCGCAGCGCCCTGTGCCACTGCTGGGCCCTGCATCGGTCCAGGGGGATGATGATGATGTCTGAGAGCCCAGGCTCAGCTCCCAGACCTTCCTGCAAGAATGACAGTGCCACCTCTGCACTCTGAGGTGCATCAGTGACATGTGGTCTCTTGCACCAAGATGTTCACTCACTGGGGCTGTCGCACAGTCTCTGCACCATGTCCAGTATCAAATCCAAACCCACTGGGGTCAACATGGTCACGGGGCTTCAGATGCAACTTGCAAGCCACCTTTACAAGCAACTCTCTATAGAAATCAACATCATGCCTGGGATGACATTTCAACATAAGGAGGTTTTTCCCAGAAAAGCTGTCTAAGTCTCTCCAAGACATGCACTTGCCATCCCAGTGGCACGCAGAGGACAGGTCCCACAACAGCCACCTCCCTCCAAGGTCTTGCTAGCCATCCTTTCTCGCTGCTGAAGTAAATCCACACCTCTCACCTCTCAGATCTCCGACAGAAAGAATGAAGCTTTTTTTTTTTTTTGCCTCTTGCATATTTCAAGATAGTGTTTCAAGAAAAAAACACTTCAGCACCACAGCCCGGGAGGCTCAGCACAAACTCCCACAGCTGGTGTTGCAGCCAGTCCTCTTTGCACTTCAGTCTGCTACGTGGCCTAAGACTCAGAAAGGGCTGAGATGTTTATTTTTGCAAAGCTAACATCAGGATGGACATCAAACCAACTGATGACCAGCAAAGCCAAGGAATCATCTGAGTTCAGACAGAATTCCCTGCTGGGGAGATCCAGCACATTCCCACTCAAACCAAGCGCTCTCCCAGCTGATGCACAAAGGATCATGTCATGAACCTAAGGCTCAAGACAAGGTGCAGAAATGGCCAGGCCATCCACCCAGGCAGTCTCCTGTTTTACCTGGGGCCATGTCTTCAGAGCCATCAGCACAGCCAGAGCCAAGTTCCACAGCAAAGCAGTCCCTGCTCAGGACCGGACAGTCACATTATCTGCATTTTGGATATTTTAATCTCTAGCTTGGTCTGATGAATTTACACCCACTGGTTGGTAGATCTTGTCTTTTGTCTCAGTTAAACCCAAACCAGATCAGGTCCTGTGCTCCACGACAAACCCAAACTACGTCACACAGGAACAGAACTTCGCTGCAGAACCACCCGCCTGATATGGGCTGCAGAACTACTGCAGACACTGCCACGGCCCTGGGGACGTCCAGCACAGTCCTGGTCACCCAAAATGAGACAACACCCACACACAGGTAAAATCTACAGGGCTCCACCTTGGCTGGCCACGGTGCCTTCCAGAGCAAAAGGCTCATGACCAGGTCCCCTCTCCAGAAGAAGGAGCACCAGCAGTATCGATCTGCAGAGGGACAGTGAAACATTGTTTGGGGATATCCAGCCATTCACTCTGTCTTGTTTTAATCAGTCAACATTCAAAAGACAGATAGCGGGGCCAGAAATCCTATATCTTTATCTTTTCTCACTTAATCTCCAGCTGACGTTTTTCTGTGAAAGCATGTCTCATTCCTCGCTGTGTGACTTCAACTCTCTCTCTTCTGTGATATTTTGCCTCAAACGGGCTACAGAGCTGGTTACTACTTTTACAGAGACAGGAGTGGCATGCTCCAACTTTCCCAAAACACACGACTGCTCATCTGGCTTCAGACATAGAACTGCAGAGGTGGGACCAGCAGAGCTACCCCAGCTACCCCGTGATCCCCTGGGACCAGCTGCCCGACACCCCTCGGCTCCCTGTGGCAAAGGCTCTGCCAGAGCCTCTGCCATTGGGATCTTATGGGCTTCTCCAAGTGCCACCCCCACTCCCAGCACCCACGCAGATGCTGATGCCCTCAGACAGCAGCGCAGGTGCACCTTGGCTGTACACCTCTGCCAGCCCCAACCTTCCTGCCTTGTTCCAAAAGCCTTTTCCCACCCTCCATACAGACAACTCCTCATCTGCTGTGACTGCTGGGAGCTTCCCCCCTCGGACAAACTCTTTTCACCTGTCTTGGTGCCTGCCCTGAGTCTGCCGGCTCAGGAAATGCCTTTGTTAATGACAAAGCAACACACCTGCCCAAAGCAAACCCACTCATCCTTTCCCTTCCAATGTACCCCTCCAGCAGCAAGTTCTACACCATCCAAATTGCAGTAAAATATCCAGAATGTCTTTGGAGATGTAACGCTCTGAACCCCTAAAAATGGATGATTTGGCCTTTACTTCTCTCTGTTACCTGCAGCTGCTCTGCACTAACAACACATAACACACCGCCCAGTAAAGCCTTGTGGCCCACTTGTATTTCACAAGGAGCAGGTTGCATTTTAGACTCCTGTGTGAGCTGCCCTTCCCCCTGACTGCAGTGCTGCTAAAACACAGTCTCGTCAGGAACTGAAATGCTTTGGAAAGACAAAAAGTGAAAAAGAAGGATAGGCAGGCTAAGAGGAACTCCCAGAGCGGACCTGGGACCATCTGGCACGAGCGGTGCGGGAGGAGGGAAGCAGCCTATCTGATGGGAGCAGAGCAGGCAGCCCAACTCCAGCAGCAGAGCTCCCAGAGCTGCCACATGAGAGGAGCATCCTTGAGAGGAGCATCCTTCCTGAACCATCGGCCTATCCCCCTCAGCCATCCCAACACAAAGAGATTCCGCTTCACAAAAAAAAAAAAAAAAAAAAAAAAAAAAAAAAGCCATGAACTTCAGGCCCAACAATTAGGCTCTGGGTAAAACAGGCTTTTAACAAAGGTTATAATTTTGGAAGTCCATTTAAATTAACCTTAACTAGCTTTAAACTCTATATACGTATCTCCTTGCCACGCTCACAACCCACGCACATTTCGCAGTGCCAACGAGCTAAATCATGTGCAAGTGAGCAGAGTAAAAGGAACCACAGGCTTGAAAAAAGCTCTGGGCTGAAACTCTCTTTCATTGTTGCAAGCAGCACAGGAGATGGCAACAGCAGAAGGAATCAGGAATAAAAATGGAACTTCGCTTGTTTACCTCGTCGGTTTTGTCAAAACATTGTGACAACACTATGCGTGCAGCCCTCTCTGTTCTGCCACCAAAAATTAAGAGCCCTTCACCTATCTTCACGCATTACAGGAGAAAGGCAAGAAGAGTAAAACTTTTACGGAGAGAAATGAGTGTGCAAAAAGTACAAAACCCAGCATGAGAACTTCAAACTACACTGGGCTCCTCTTCCAGAGAGTCCAAACACCACCACGCACAGTGACCCTCCAGCTACACAAGCTGAGTTAACAAGGAGCAGGCGGCCTACGAAGGAGGGGAGGAAGAAAATAAAAGGAAAGTTTGGGTAAGCCTAACAAAAAGCAAAGGAAAATAAAGAAAAGGAAAAGTTAAAAAAAAAAGAAAGAAGACAAAATATGTAAATTGGGATTTCAAAAGTTCTTGACAGTGTGATTTTAACAGAGAAACTCCCAGTGCTCCAGGCAGAGCCCTTCCTCTCCAAAAGCCATTCAATCCAGTAAGAAGCAGCAGGTTTTTGAAGGAGCAAATTGCACAGCTGTGGAAGAATTTGCCTTCCCTGCCTTCTTTCCAACTCACCTAAGAGAAACTCGCTTTCTACCCGTCGGATTAGCAAGACCGAGGAAATTGGTTGGTTCTAGTTACACTTTGAGTTTTCGTGTTTGACGAGAGCCCCCTGAAATGTAAACCTGTTTTAGCATTCTTGTACATTAATGTCATTGTTCTCCCTGCTGGCTCCCACAACTTCTGTCACAGACAAGTCAATCAGATTTGGTATATGCCTGAGGGACGGGGAAGGGGAGGGCTGGGTTTAAAGCAAACAAGCAACCAAAAAATAATTATGTCAGTGCTCTGCAAGGTGTTGGATCCAAACGCGGTGGATCTGCTGAAGTCTTCGATCCAAAACACTTGGCAATTTTACTTTAAAAAAAAAAAAACAACAAAAAACCCAAAAAAAGTTTGACCTGTTGAACTTAGAGAAAAGCAAGTGGCAGACCTTTGAGGAAGGGAGACAACATGTGCGGGTGCAAAAACGTCATGTGCCGTAGTTCACCGCCTTAGAAGAAATCAGAGTTTTGCTTTGCTTGGTTTTGCTTTTTTCTGAAGTGCCAGCGAAAGGCGCTTCCCAAAGGGGGGGCTTTACAGAGTTTACGGGTGCCAAGGTGGAAGCATGAAGTGAAGACATGCCAAAAACGTCAGGTTTGCATAAACCCTTCTGGAAAAAGTGCACTGTGTTTTTTTTTTGTTTTAGGAAAAATGCATATCTACCAAATCTCCACTGACCAGGGGCCACTTGCCCACGCAAAGTCGCATCAATTGGCAGCATCAACGCTGACATTTTTTGCCTTCTCCTTCCACCCCCCTCCCCAATTTTTTTTTCCTTGGGAGACATACAGCGCCACTGCATTAGAACGTACAAGAAATGAAAACAGTGAGTACGACTGATATAGATCCATTGACTTTTTATTACAAATGTACTTGATCACTTGGCTTCAAAAAAGTTTAAATCAACCCCTATTTTCTGTACGCCAGTACAAAGTAAAATCTATTTTACAAATTAAATACCTAAAAATTTGACAAAAATATTAAAGTTTGATGGAAAAAACAGTTATAAAAATCTTAAATCCCCTTTTAAGAAGATAAGAGATAACATTCCCTCCCAACCCCCACAGTCCTGTTATACAATATTAATAGTCATTTTTTTTAGAATAGGTAGGTATGTTATATCTTGCTGTTAGCATACAAGTCACTCTAATAGCTTTATCTGTATATACTCCAGTTAGTGCATGAATGTCATCTGATTGAATATAGTCAACTATCTTTAACTGATCCCTAATTTACATTTCATAGCTTGCATAGTTTGAAGGGACAAAGGTTACACTACAGCTAATCATAAAAAAAGGTGGTTACAGTGCTATTTTTAAAGGCAACAAAGTAATTGCTCCCAAAAAAAACCAAACCCAACCCAAACCAAACCAAAAAAAAAGAAGTTATCGGTCGGCTCTGAGCAGGGGTTAAATCCCCGGCAGCAGCTCTGCCTGGCTCTCAGGGTGGGCTCTGCATCCACCCACTGCCCGTCGGGCAGCCCCTCTGCGCTTCCCACGTCCCGGGACAGGCTGGGAACCGCTCTCCCGGCAGCGCTACCCCCAGCACATTTCAACCCCTGCGCGGGATACGCACAAAAAAGTGACACTGTCAAGTATTTATTTCCTTTTTTGTTTGTTCGTTTGGGGTTTTTTTTCAGTTAAATTTTCCAATTTAAAGAAAAAAATAAAAAGTGCTCCGCCGCGTCCGGGTGCGCCCGGCGGGAAGCTCGGGGCGCTCCCGACATCCCGCGGCCGGGCTCCTGCATCGGCTCCGCGGATCCCGCCCGGCCCAAGCCTCCGAGGGCACCCCCGGAGGGGTCGGGCCACAGTCCCCCCGGCTCCCGGGAAGCCGCGGGCTGCCTCCCGCCGCGGGACCGCCAAGAAGAGGCAGGAATCAACAGCGGCTCGCGCTGTCTCTTTTTTTTTTCTTAAATTTAAATTCTCAGAGGCAGAGCAATTTAACTTTTTTTTTCTCTTTTAACAAAAAAAAATATAGAATTTAATTCGGAGGACGTTTCTCCATTACCATTAAACCACTTAAAGGGTGGTTGTTTCAATGGTAAATTACTTGACAGTGTCCCTTTAACTTAAAAATAAAATAATGTCAGTATTGCAATGAATTTCAAGTTTTCTTGCACGTAGTCATTATAAAGTAGCTTTTATCATGCTCTTGGACCTATTCTACAAGACATTTAAAAGCATATCATCAAGGAAAATATAAGGCATACTTCTCAGGAATTAGGTATCTTGGCACATTTGAGCATACTGTCTTTTTTTAAAACAACACATATGGTCAAATATACCTTTCTTCTTCTAACATTAAACAGGGTTTTCTGTACTTTGTTTTAAATACTGAGATATTAGAGCCTTGGTAAAGTACCGAGCACCGCCGGGAAAACAAAAATTAAAACAAAAAAAGCAAAAAAAAAAAAAGAAAATAAAAAATGAAAACTAGAACAACCAGGAGCAAAATCCCACGAATCTTTACAGTCATTTTAGTCTTTCGTTATCATTCATCAAGTCCTTGAACATACAGAACGTGCGTTAAAAGAAGGAAAAAAACCAAACCAAACAAAAAAAAAAAACCCAAAACAACGAAACACGCAGAAGAAACCCCCCCCCAAAAAAACGAGACAAAAAACTGACCACAAGTTCTCGGACACTGTTCACAGAACCGCCCGCGGGCTGTCCCAGGCTGTACTGGTTTGACTGGAACCGCGCGGCCCGTGCGCTCCTCGGGTCAGCCGGATCCTGGGCAGGAT